GGAATTATCACTAAAATGACCAAGAGTTCATGTCAAAGATAAAATCAGATCAAGTTAGAAAAAAAACTATTTAATTTATTGTGCATATAAAAGAACAGTTTGAGAGTGGAGAGACTTCCAACCACCAAACCAAACATGGTAAGAAGCCCCATTCACAGCAATGTAAACAGAGTCTATAAAGCCTAAGGGAAGAAGTATTTTAACCTTTTTTGTGATTTGCAATTATGCATTAATATTCTATTTACAGCAAGTAGAGCTGTTTAAATTGTTTTATCTGTGACTGACTTATTTAAGTTCTCTGAATCATGCTGACAAGGATGTAAAACTTACTTTATGTTTTGTTTATGATTAGAGCTAGCATTTCCGGGAAATCGGGACATCTTAAATTTTGGCTCTATGGCTATGAGTGGTTGGCCTCAGTGGGGTATATCTAAACTGTGGCCTTCATTTTGTATTTTTCTTTAACATCACTATCAACTGGAAAGAATCTATGATATTATGTACAGCTTCTTCTCTCTCTCTCTCTCTTTTTTTTTTTTTTTTTTTTTGAGTCAGTCTCATTCTGTTTACACACTCTTAGGCAAGAGTGTAGTGGTACATTCACAGCTACCACAGCCTCAACCTGCTGGGCTCAGGCAGTCCTTCTGTCTCAGCCTTCCAAGTAGCTGGAACTACAGACACTTGCCATCATGCCCGGCTAAGTTTTTATTTATTGTGGAGACAAGGTCTCACCAAGTTGTACAGGCGGATCTCTATCCCTGGGCTCAGGCAGTCTTTTCACCTCTGCCTCCCAAAGTGCTGGGATTACAGGCATAAGCCATCGTGCCCAGCCCCTCTCATATTTTTATGGCTATTGTGTTTTTCTTTTTGCTGTGCCTTTTTGGGGATCGATGTTCCTCAAACAAACTATGAAGTACTCTGATGTCTCTCTCCGTTGCTGTTCAGTTTAATAACTACCATTTTTAGATTTTTTTTGAGGGGGGGTGGGAGTCTCACTCTGTCACGTAGGCTGGAGTGCAGTGACACGCTCATGGCCATCACAGCCTCGCCCTGCTGGGCTCAGGCAGTCCTTCCACCTCAACCTTCCAAGTAGCTGGAACTACAGGCATGCACCATCACGCCCAGCTAATTTTTTGATTAACTGTAGAGATGAGGTCTTGCCATGTTGCCCAGGCTGGTCTCGAACCCTCTGGCTCAGGCAATCTTATTGCCTCCCTCCCTAAGTGCTGGGATTACAGGCATGAGCCACTGTGCCCAGCAATGCAGGAACACTTTGATGGAACTGACTTACATATTGCAAAAGCGAGACAGGAAATCAAGTATCATAACATTAGCCAGGCTCGGCGGCTCAGCCTGTAATCCTGCGCTTTGAGAGGCTGAGGTGAGTGGATTGCCTGAGCCTGCAGGTTCGAGATCCACCTGGGCAACTTGGCGAGACCTCATCTCTACAATAAATCAAAAAATTAGCCGGGTGTGGTAGCGCGCACCTGTAGTTCCAGCTACTTGGAAAGCTAGGGCAGAAGGATCACGGAGCCCAGCAGGTGGAGGCTGCGGTGGCTGGGAGCGGCCACTGCACTCCAGTCTGGGCAACAGAGTGAGACTCCAACTCAAAAAAAAAAAAGGATCATAGTGTTTGGGAAAAGTATACCAGAAAAAGAAAATAGTTGCTTTAAATCATTCTTTTATTATTCTAAGAATTGGCATAGCTACCGTTATCACTTTTGCTAAATATAATATTAACTTAATAACTTTAGTCTCACTGTTTACTAGGAAATGTTTCTGGGTGTGTTTTTGGCTGCAATTAACTGAAAACTCTGACTCAAAATGACCGATAATTGGCAGTACCTGGAAGCCCAGAGGTGGGCCTCCATGGGTGATTGTTTCAGTGGTAGGCTCTTTGCATCTTTCCACTCTGCCATTCTCAGGTCTCAACTTTGCCCTCGGGATGGCTCCCCATGTGGCACAAATGCAGGAGTCACATCCAGAAGAAAAAAATCTCCCTTGATTTCCCGCAGATTTCCTATCATGTTTCTTTGTCCAGAAGTGGACCAGTATCCATGCCATTCCTAATGAGATTACCTTAATTGGCTTAGACTAGCCCTGAAGCACGTAGCTATGTGGGAGAGGAATGGCAACTTGAATAAATTGGCCTCTGTTAGGAAGGAAGAAAGGGACAAAAAGATATTGGTTTAGCAACCCACAGTTGCTGTGACAGGCTTTTAAATGAATTTGCTTTAAGTGATACTGATTATTCTTAAATCAATTAGTGATTATTCATAGACCAATACTCTATTGCTATTTCTATATTTATACATAAGAAATTGGAGGCCAGCCAGGCTCAGTGGCTCAGCCTGTAATACCATGCCTTTGGGAGGCTGAGGTGAGTGGATTGCCTGAGCCTGCGGGTTCGAGACCCACCTGGACAGCGAGACCTCATCTCTACAATAAATCAAAAAATCAGCCGGGCGTGGTAGTGCATGCTTGTAATTCCAGCTACTTGGAAGGCTGAGGCGGAAGGATCGCCGGAGCCCAGCAGGCGAGGCTGCGGTGGCCGGGAGCAGCCACTGCACTCCAGTCTGGGCAACTGAGTGAGACTCCAACTAAAAAAAAAAGAAATTGGAGGCCTAGAGAAAGTGAAGTGGCTTGTCCAAAGCACATTGTTAATAAGTAGAATTTAAACACATCTTCTGACTCACGGAGTCTTGTTCCTAACTCATTGTCCAAAATGGCTTTATCTATTCTCCATTTATAAAAATGGTATTCATTGTTCAATGTGCAATTTACATACAATAAGGATATAAATCTTACATAAAATAAATGCAGGTCAGGCGCAGTGGCTCAAGCCTGTAATCCCAGCACTTTGGGAGGCCGAGGCAAGAGGATTGCCTGAGCCTATAGTTCAAGACCAACCTGGGCAACTTGGTGAGACCTTGTCTCTAAAATAAATCAAGAAAAATTAGCCATGCATGGTGGTACACACCTGTAGTTCCAGCTACGGAAGGCTTAGGCTGAAGAATCACCTGAGCCCAACAGGCCAAGGCTGCGGTAGCTGTGAGCATACCACTGCACTTCAGCCTGGGTGACAGAGTAAGACTCTGACTCAAAAAAATAAAAGTAAAAAAATAAACGCAAAGCCTAGTTAATCTGTACCAATCCCTATAGTCACAGTGAAGCACTTTTATTTAGTTATAAATATATTGCTTGTACATCTAGTTAACCATTCAGTTAATTTTGACCCAGCTGGCCACCTGTATAATCTCTCACTAGGCTTTGAGGGTAGAGACTACCTGACTTGTCTCTGTAGCCTTTTGAATAAAATACAGTATTTGGTACATAGCAGAACTCAGAAAATGTATGAAATTAGGCAAAGGACTTGTCCAAGGTTACAGTTAGTAAGAGCACTAGTGCTAGGGCTAGGAGCTAGGCCCTCTAACAGAAGCTTAGCCCAGGGATCTTCCTAGTATACTAGTGTCATAGGAAGAACTATGCCCCACAGCCACTCATTTTACATTCATTCCATATCTGTGCATAGAGCACCTAGCATGTGCTTCTTGACCTCTGGAGTTAGCAGTAGGAGAATACAAACACCTACAGAATAGACTGGAAGGAAGCAAGACTGGCTGACTCCCTCCAGATCCTGGTTGAGTTCTCTTAGATATAAGGACTAAGGGAATTCAAAGGTATAAAATCTTTCCTGTCTTGAAGGGAGTTTATGCTTTTACCAAGGAGATAGAAATAAGTACAGATGAAAATAACTATAGTGCTCAATAAATGTTTACAAAAGATTTGTGTATTTCACTGCAAGGTATATCTAAATAAAAGAGATTAAAAGAAGCAAAAAAAGCCGGCTCGGTGGCTCAGCCTGTAATCCCGCGCCTTTGGGAGGCTGAGGTGAGTGGATTGCCTGAGCCCGCGGGTTCGAGACCCGCCTGGGCAGGCGAGACCTCATCTCTACAATAAATTAAAAAAAAAATTAGCCGAGCGTGGTAGCGCGCACTTGTAATTCCGGCTACTTGGAAGGCTGAGGCGGAAGGATCGCCGGAGCCCGGCAGGTCGAGGCTGCGGTGGCCGGGAGCGGCCACCGCACTCCAGTCTTCCAATCTGGTGACAGAGTGAGACTCCAACTCAAAAAAAAAAAAAGAAGCAGAAAAATGATTCAACCTAGCATTCATAAGGTTTGAAATTCACGATGTCAGCAAGGGCGGTATGTTCATAGATCTTTAAGGAAGTTATTGAACCTCATCAAAGTGTTGGAAGTCAAGATGAGGAGGGAAAAAAACAGGAATTCAGAGAAAGGAGAAATATATTGAAGGAAGACAGGCAACGTAATGGTTAACTAGTCAGACTGTAGACAAACAAGTTTAGTGCAAATCCCAGATCCTCAAGTCTTAGCTGGAGGATTAAATCACAGATTCTCACTCTTGAGAACTACTGTAAACCTGTTTCCCCATCTATAAAATGTAGATGATAGTAGAATCATTTTCCTAGTGTAAAATAATACATATCAGGAGCTTAATGTAGCTTGGTATATAACAAATCCTCAATATATATAGCAGTGGTAGGGAAGAATTAAAACTTGTTAACAGATACAGGCAAGAAGGAAGAATTGAAAAGAATGCCCAGCTTCCCACCATAGGAAGTGCAGACATTAACGGAGCCAGAAATGGTAGAAAGAGCTTTACGGCTGGCAGTCACCAGTGTCTTTTCTGGAACAGCTCAACATTCACTAATGTTTGCTCGTGATTAGAAGCACATAGAGTCAAAATGTATGGGCTAGCATTAGGTGAAGATGTTGAGCCAGCGGAAGGGTAGGGCCCAATCTAAGGGCTTGAGGAAGGCTTCCTAGGAAAGATGATGGTGCACGTACTCCTGAAGGATGAGTAAGCTTTGTGATGAAGAAAGGTAGGAAGGTGTTCCAGGCAAGGGACAAACACGCAAAGTCCCAGAAGTGAAACTCAGCATGGTGGATACAGGAAGCTGTAGGCATTTTGTCTTTCTAGGACCCAAAAAACAAGATGATGAAAGGTGGAAAACAAGGCTGGAGAGACACAGTGGTCACCCCTCACTGGCCTTGCCATACTACTGGACTATTCCAGCCCTCCCTGGCCCAGAGCCATAGATGGCGCCACCCTGCACTGTGCACATGACAGGTACAGACATTCTCAGCCCCAGGCCCCTCCACCCTGCTAGTGTGGGACTGACGTATCTGACTTCCCTAAGCTTGCCCCACAGGGTGAGCAAACAGGACCAGCTGGATTTGAGTGTTTGGAAAAGCGTAGGTGGGGCTTCCAGTCTATGCCCATGTCAAGCCAGGGGCTGAGAATTTTCCCCCTCCCATGGTCTTTGGCTAGGACACTCCCTGAGGAGGCAGAGGTGTGACCATCCCACTCACTGGTGATCCATGATTCATTCATCCAGTACATCATTGCTAAGCAGCTGCTGAAGGAATAGCATTGTGTTAGGTGCTTGGAATATACTGAGGAATCACTTAGTCCAAACACTTGAAGACATCCCCATCCAACTGGAAAGGCACTGCATAAACATCCCAGAGAATGTCATGAGCCATAGGAGCTGTAACGATAACAGTAGCCAACTTTTATTTAGCATACATAAAAGGCTGGACCAGGCTTTGAGCTAAATATTTTGCCTGTCACTCATTTCATCTTAACAACAGCCCAAATGTGATCGTCTCATTTTATAATGAGGAAACTACACACCGAGCGGTGAAGTGACTTGCCAATGTTGAACAGCTTCTGAGTAGCAAAGCTAGGATTCAAATTCAGCCAGGCAGCCTCCAGTGTCCCCCTCTTTAACCACTGGGTATACTGCCACCCAGAGAAATGCATGAAGCATTTTAGATTAATGCTATGAATTCAAAGACAGTAACAGTTACTGTGGCTTGGAGGTATCCACAAGTCTTTCCAGAAAAGTTGAGACCTGACTCAGGCCTTAAAGCATGGGTTAAACAGGATAAAGAAAAAGACATATTCAATTTAGCTACCCCTCCCTTTTGAATCAACACTTTTAGCCTAGAATGGCAAAGCTAGAAAGGACCCTAAAGATCATCTATCCCAGTGGTTATCAGACTTTCTTCGAGTGTGGACATTTTCTTTAAGTGAACGATGAGCAGAGATCTTACCTTTTTGAGAGGAAGTCCGAACACACCCTAAACCCAGAGCCCTGAAGAGCTTGGTTGATAACCACTGATCTGGTCCAGTTTCCTCAGAGCCTTGTTTTTGGTTTTTTGGGGTTCCCCCCCCCCCCACTGTCTGGAGGAGGAAGAGAAGGCAGTAGCTCCCAAAGGACAGGAACCATGGGGACATTTTAAACAGGGAGTAACCAGGGCTAGGCATTCTGCTGCTGCCTCTTGTCTGTTTTCCCTTGTATCCTGCTTCCAGCTGAATGGTTGGCAGCTACAAATGGCAGCAGAGAGATCGTGAAAGGCATTGGGGCTTAGAACTGCTATAGAGGAGCAAGAAGGGAGTTGTAGTTGGAGAAGAGGGCCTTGAAGAGCTGACTGCACCAGGACTGGAGAGTAAATGTACATCTTCCTTCCTTAATCCTGTACTACATTGTGGTCTCCAGGGAACATCAGCCAATATAAATCCCTATAGGGTCTTATCTTTACGGAGGGTGGCGGGGGCAGCACCTTTCTCATTGTCACCTCTACCTTCCCTAGATATGTGCAGGTGAAATTTGTCTGTATTCGGACTCAGTCAAACAGGAAAAGAACACAGGAGGCAGATATGTGCCCAGCGTACTTGCTCCTGAGGTACAACGAGAGGCTAGATAGACTATTTATCAGCGAACTAAACACACAGCATATACATAGTGACTCTAAAACTGCTGGTCCTGGAGGAGACACCGCTGGCAAATTTCAAAAGACAATGTGCCTGCAGAAACTCCAGCACATGCAGTCCACAGTCAAAAACGACCTCGACACTGCTGAGGAGTCCCCGGCTGAACCATCATCTGGCCTAGATAAGGCACAAGGACCCTCAAAATCAGAGCAGGAAGGCATCACTCCTTCTGACCTGGCCAAGATAGCAAAAGTGATGAAGAACTTTCTTAAGGTAGATGAGGGTTCCATGGCTTCCTTCAGTGTGGGCAACAGCCAAGACCTGGACCGGCTCAGCTTCCAGAGCAGCAAGATGAGTGACCTGTTCATCCGCTTCCCAGAGAATCTCTTGCTGCATCGGGTAGAGAATGCCCAGGGCCACATCCTCTATGCTTTCTTGGTGGAGAACAAGGAACGGGAAGGTCGAGTGGTGCACTTTGCTGTTCTCAAGGCTGAGACAGCCACGTCTGTGGCCAAGATGCTAAGCATCTTCACAGAGTTCAACTCTGACTGGCCCAAGGTCAAGGTGGTCTTTGTGGACCCTTCATTCCCTCACCAGGCCATCTTGCAGGAGATCTTCCCTGCTGCCCGCATCCTCCTTTCCATCTACCATACAACCCGACTCCTGGAGAAGAAGTTGCATCGTAGTTCAGCAAATCCATCCTTTAAAAGACTCATGAAGGAGGCCTTGCGGGAGGCCGTGTTTGTCACTTCCGATGCCAGCCTGAAAAATCTCGGTCAGATGTCCCAGGCCCTACTAGATGAGGATCTCTTCAACTTCCTGCAGGCCCACTGGTTCACCTGTGAACTGCTGTGGTACATGCACGTCAGGAAGGGCCTGCATGCATGTAACACCTATATGGACAGCCTAGACATTGTCACCAGCAAAGTATCAAGCCTCTTTCGGAAACAGCAATCCCTGCTGGACTGCATCCTCTGCTTTGTGGATTACATAGACTTCTTTAATACTAAAGGCTTGAAGAACTTGCCTACAGCTCCTCCCAAGCTGAAGAGAGCTCGGCCAGCAAGCATGCCGCCAAAGTCCAAGAAGGCGTTTGGAACTTGTGGAGGGGGCCTCGCCAGGCTCCCTGTGGAAGAGACAAAACCAGACCCACAGCAGATGCAGCAGCAGCCACAGGTGCAGCCCTCCCGGGGTGGCATGCTTGACACCCTGCACCAGAATGGCTCTGAACTAGCCTACAAACTGTGCCACAATGAGTGGGAGGTGGTACAGAACTCCACCCAGCTGGTGGACGTGGCTGGCTCCTCGGTAGATGTTCAGCTGCTGGAGGACTCTCACCAGGTTAGCAAAGATGGCTGCAGCTGCAGCTGTTCCTTTCAGCAATGGTACCACCTGCCGTGCCGGCACATTTTGGCCCTGCTGCACACCAGCCAGCAGCCAGTTGGTGAAGCTATGGTGTGCCGCCGGTGGCAGAAGAAGTACCAGCACCTCCTTGGGCCCAATGGGGAGCTCCAAGACCACGGTGTGGCCTCAAACACAGGCCAGCCTGAGCAGCAAGGACGGTACAACATGATTCAGGACCTAAGCATGGAGCTGGCAAACCTCCTAATGCAGACGGAGGGGCCAGAGCTGGAGGAACGCTGTTCCACCCTGCGCAAGATTGTGGATATCTGGGCTGACCCCTGTCAGCCTGAGTCCATTCAGCAGCCAGGAGACGTGGGCCACCTCCCTTTCCTCTGGGGAAAGCAAGAGGAAGGGGACAGACTCCCTCCTGCTGCAGCCATGATTGATTCATGATTGAAGCGCTTTCACTGGCGCATTGGACCACAAACCCCTCTCCTTGGAGGTTCAGGAGTTCAAAGTGGCAGGACATGCTAGGGGCCAGCATTCCAACCAGTGTGTTCCTGGGTAGGGCTGGGGAGACTGCTACAAGCCCCACTGTGTGACAGTCCTTTCAATCTGCCTCTTTTTAGTCTACCTTTGGTATTCCTTGGGAGCCTCATTTGTTGTTCAAGGCCAAAGTTATCTCCATGCTAAAAATCGTCCCTCTCCCTCTTCCAACCCCTGAGATCAGATCTCATTCATCCTGCAGAGATGAACCCCTACCCCAAGATAGACAAAATGGGTCTGGTAAAAGGGCCTATTTTCAGGGACAAAGGGAAAGAGAGTGATCTTTGGCTGTTGCTCTTTGTGAAGAATCTGTTACTTGTAATTATATTTATTTATGTTAAATAAAGTATGTGTTTTTAAGTAAAATAAGCAAGGGAAATGTGTTCTGCTTAATCAGGGAAGGGAGAGGAATTGCATAGCAGTAAGACTCCTGACTTTACTGTCAGGAAGTAGATAGGTGTATTAATTTTACAGGAAATTGGGTATTAGCCTAATGAGGTTGTGGAACCAAATAGAACCTGAAGCCTCAAATTCCAAGATTTAGCAATCTGCCACTTACTGTCCTCTTCTTACCAACCAAGCCTTCAAGGTTGATTTAAAGTTGCCTTATAATCTAGCAGGATGAAGCCAAATAGACTGGGAGGGAAGAAACGGAATCCTAAACTTGACTGCCAGCAACTTACCAGGTCCTGTGGAGAAATTCCTAATTTCTTTCTTTTCTTTTTTTTTGAGTCGGAATCTCACTCTGTCACCCAGGTTGGAGTGCAGTGGCATGCTCACGGCCACCACAGTTTGGACCTGCTGGACTCAGGCAATCCTTCTGCCTCAGCCCTCCATGTAGCTAGAACTACAGGCATGCGCCACCACGCCCAGCTAATTTTTCTTGATTTATTGTAGAGATGAGGTCTCACCATGTTGCCCAGGCTGGTCTCGAACCCATGGGCTCAGGCAATCCTCTCACCTCAGCCTCCCAAAGTGTTGGGATTATAGACGTGAGCCACTGCACCCGGCTAGTTCCTAATTTCTTTGACCTTAGTTTTCTCATCTGTAAAAATTAGTGTGTTGACTGTTATCATCCCAAATTTCCCTTCAAGATTTACATAAACAGGCCAGGTGTGGTTCACACCTGTATTCCCAGCACTTTGGGAGGCTGAGGCAAGAGGATTGCCTGAGCTCAGGAATTCAAGACTAGCCTGGGCAAAGTGGCAAGACCTCATCTCTACAATAAATCAAAAAATTAACTGGGCATGGTGGCACGCACCTGTAATCCCAGCTTCTTGGAAGGCTGAGGCAGAGAGATCACCTGAGCCCAGCAGGTCGAGGCTGCAGTAGCCGTGAAGGTGCCACTACACTCCAGCCTAGGCAACAGTGAGACTCCAACTCAAAAAAAAAAAAAAAAAGATTTATATAAACAGTATTTCCAGGCCGGGCGCGGTGGGTCATGCCCATAATACTAGCACTTTGGGAGGCCAAGGCAAAAGGATTGCCTGAGCCAGGGGGTTCGAGACCAACCTGGGCAACTTGGTGAGATCTCATCTCTACAATAAATCAAAAAATTACCCAGGCGTGGTGGCATGTGCCTGTAGTTCCAGCTACTTGGAATGCTGAGGCGAAAGGATCATCTGAGCCCAGCAGGTCGAGGTTGTGGTGGCCATGAGCGTGCCACTGCACTCCAACCTGTGCAATAGAGTGAGACTCCAATTCAAAAACAAACAAACAAAAAACTTCCAGTGCATAATAAGCCCCAATGCTGACTTGGTGTTGTTAGTTGGTAATCACAATTTTCTAAAGCCTGATAGCCACCCAGCTTTCTAAGTCTGCCATCTGCAAGGGAACTGTAGACAGAAGATGGCCGTCAGCACTTGCACTCGTTCACCAGGACTTTAAGTCACTGAGCTATTCAAGATATATTTATTCTGTAAAAACCTGGGGGGGGGTTGGGCTGGAGAATGGCAAGTTTCGGCTTGCTCAAGGGGACTTGAATCTCTTCAACTATAAGGGTTCCTGACCCCTGAAGGAGAGGCAGAATTTGAGACCTAGGCCTCAGTTTCCCCGTAAGGTTGAATATGCAGTACAGTGACATATGCACCCTTTCCTAAACCCTTGGGGGTTTTAGAGTTTGACCCCCCCCCCCAAAAAAAATTCTGTAAAACACTGCTATTTATTTTTCTTTTCATTTTCGGCCTTTGAGGGAGTTTCCATAGTAACGTGCCCTTCCCGTCGCCCAGCCTGAAGGGGAGGCTCGAGAGTTCCAGCCTCGGCTCAGACTCGCTTAGATGCAAATATCTTCAAGCTTTCATTGGTCACCACCAGCCCTCGTAACCCTGGCAACACCGCCCGCCCACGAACCTCCGGGCGACGATTGGTCCATGGCGCTAAAGACCGAAAAGCGAGTTCCAGGCCGTTGGCTCGAATGATTGCAAAGCTGACGCCGCGGTTGGTGAGTCTGGAGGCCAGTCAAAGTTGGAGGCTGGGTCGAATAGGCAGAAATGGCGACAGAACCAGGCTGTGGGTGAAGGATTCCTGAAGCAGTGGAGATGTGAGGCCACTGATCCCCGCGGTCGGCCATCACACAGCTCCCAAAGGGGAGGAGGAAGCTGGACTCCGACCCGGAACGTCAGACATCCACATCTCCCACCCAGATTAGAGGTGAGAGATCAAAGGCCGCGTTCCCTCCCTGTTCCTGGTTTTTGGACCCCAGGTACTGTAAGAAGCCGTCAGGATCCCGAGCCAAAGACTTGACTTTCAGCTACTTACGGAGTAATGGTGGGCAAATCATTTAGCTTCTTTGAACCTTAGTTTCTCATCTGTAAAATGGGACAGTAACCCGGCTTGGGGCCAAATAGAAAAAACATTGGAGTAGAGCATTGCAGTTAACAGAGAGACATAGGTAGAGCCAAGAGAAGCTATGCACATGTGTTAACCCCGTTTGATGGTAGAAGGGACTGAGGCTCAGAGAGGGACGTTGACTTGTCCAAGATCACACAGCAAGTTTAGGGCAATTGCAGTTCTCTTATGTATACCAGGACCAAAGGAAAGAATGGATACCAAGAAGTAATTTATAAATATCCTGTGCTATACACAAATATTAAGAATGAAACCGGGTGCAGTGGTTCACGCCTGTAATTCCAGCACTTTGGGAGGCTGAGGCAAGAGGACTGCTTGAGCCCAGGCGTTCAAGACTAGCCTGGGCAACATAGCAAGACCTTGTCTCTATAATTGCTGTTCCCAGAGCAATTTTTTTAATTAAAAAAAATTTTTTTAATGTTTTCTTTTTTTTTTCCACATGTATCTCTGGCCTTCCCATCTGTTTAAATCCCTGGAACCATATCTTTCTATGGCTGGCTTCTGATCACTTAGGTCTCAGCTCAGTGTCATCCTTCCCCCCCAGAGGGGCCTTCCCTTACCATCATAGCTAAAATATCCTCTCTTCCCCAGCTCACTCTCTGCCATGTTACTCAGGTTTGTGGTCTTTGTACCCTTTATTAGTAAGTGTTCAATAAATGCTATCTGGATGAATAATGGAAGAGCAAGTCCTTACTGTCTCCTTAGACCTCTGTTCCTCTCCATAGGCCCATCTTTGGAAAAAAAGATCTGGGAACTACAGTCTAGCCTCAAGCCTCAATTTACTTGGAGCTTGAGAGACTCAAAGCCTCCTGGACAGCAGCACTGCAGAGACATCTCCCGTCTCCCCTATGGCCCTGACCATGCTGAACGGGCTCCTGATTAAGGACTCAAGCCCACCTATGCTGCTGCACCAGGTTAGCAAGATTGCCCAGTTAGACACCTTCAGCTACCAGAGCTGCTTTATGCAGGGTGTCTTTGCCCACTTCCCTGAGATTCTATTCATCCACCGGACCTACAACCCACGGGGCAAGGTGTTGTATACCTTCCTGGTGGATGGACCTCGGGTGCAGCTGGAGGGTCACCTTGCCCGGGCAGTGTACTTCGCCATCCCTGCCAAGGAGGATGTTGAAGGTCTGACCCAGATATTCCAGGTGTTCAAGAATTTTAACCCTGCATGGGAGAAAGTCTGTACCATCCTGGTGGATCCTCACTTCCTCTCACTGCCCACCCTGGCCATGGAATTCCCAGCCGCTGAGGTCCTGCTCTCGGCCTTCCACATTTGCAAGTTCCTCCAGGGCAAGTTCTACCAGCTATCCCTTGACAGCACTGTGGAAAGTGTGCTCCTGGCCTCCCTGCAGAGCACAATGTGCTCAGCCACAGCAGGCAACCTGAGAAAGTTGTACGCCCTCCTGAGCAGCTGTATCCCTCCAGCCAAGCTGCCGGAACTCCACTCACACTGGCTGCTCAACGACCGCATCTGGCTAGCCCACCGCTGGAGGAGCCCAGCCGAGAGCAGCCGCTACTTGCAGAGCCTTGAGGTCACCACCCGCATCCTCAGCCAGTTCTTTGGCACCACTCTATCTGAGAAACAAGGCATGGCCTCTCTGTTCCGATATATGCAGCAGAACTCTGCAGATAAAGCAAACTTCAGCCCATGTTTCCAGAGCAATCATGCCCCCTCAGACACCATCCCTGAAAGCCCCAAAGTGGAGCAGGTGGGAGAATCCCACATCCAGCACTCCCTCAATGCCATCTGCACAGGGCCCGCAGCCCAACTCTGCCTAGGCGAGCTTGCTGTGGTCCAGAAATCCACACACCTCATCGGCTCTGGCTCAGAGAAGATGAGCATACAGATCCTGGAAGACACCCACAAGGTGCAGCCCCAGCCCCCTGCCAGCTGCAGCTGCTATTTTAACCAGGCCTTCCACCTGCCCTGCCGCCACATCCTAGCCATGCTCAGCGCCCGCCGCCAGGTGCTGCAGCCCGACATGCTGCCGGCTCAGTGGACGGCAGGCTGTGCCACCAGTCTAGATGGCATCCTGGGCAGCAAGTGGAATGAGACCCTGGATAAACACCTGGCAGTGACTCACCTCACTGAGGAGGTGGGTCGCCTCTTACAGCATTGCAGCACGGAGGAGTTTGAGCGGAGGTACAGCACCCTGCGGGAACTGGCCGACAGCTGGATTGGCCCTTATGAGCAGGTTCAACTCTGATCACTCTCGGTGCCCAGAGATGCTCATGCATGTGTACACACTCACATTCACCCCTACACACTCTCACACTGTTGGACTCCCGTGGGCCCTCCTTCCAGAATAAGGACAAGGGTCCTCTAATCTGCCATAGCCTCCTACCTAGAAGGTGTCTGGCTCCATAAGACAGGAGTCAGCACACCTCTTCTGTAAAGGGTCCAATAGTATGTTTTACTTCGTGAGCCACTTCAGTCTCTGTTGCACATTCTTGGTTCTGATTCATAAGTTAAAAAACCATTCTTAGCTCAAGGGCCTTACAAAAACAGGCAACCCCTGGTCTAAGATAAGAAATAAGACATCAGGTGAGATTGAGGGCCTGGACTTGGTCACAGCTGCCCCAGTCATGAGATGACACACCTGACCCATATCCCTTGATTAAGCTGGCAAGGAAGATTTCCCGCAGACGAAGAGGCCCGTTTGGGAGCTGGCTCAGTCAGGCATCCAGCACTTTTTCCCCCGACCCATCCTGGGGTCAATAAAATTGAATGTTGCATATTCCAGCACTTGTTCAGACCTTTTGTTCTGTAGCAGGCACTTTAGGGTACATCGTGGAAAGAACAGACTTTGGAATGTAACACTACATGTTTATCCTGGTTCCCTCCCTGCTTGATTTCAGTAGCTATGGACTTTGGGCAAGTCATCTCTCTAAGCCTCAGTTTGATAATCTGTAAGAATGGGGATTCCCCACAGGGCAAACCTAGTGGGAGCTCAGTAAATGTTAATCTTCCTTCTTTGCCTACAATCCTATGACCTGCCTTCAACAAGCTGGAAAATTTAAGGCAAGAGGAGAATTCACATTGCCTGGGACTCTATACAAGAAATTTGATCAAGTCCTCAAAACAATATAAAAGCAGCCTCAACTTTTCAAGCAGGGTCCCCTACATCTGGTAATTTGAAACGTATCTAGCCGACAAGACCTAGTTCCTGTGGTAGTGTGGAGAAACTGCCTGGAGTCTGGAAGTCCCTAATGAAGGGCTGGATTTCGTCAGAACAGCTCAACCACACACACTATCCCTATCCCCATCCCTGCCACAGGCGCCTCCAACCCTGTCTGCCCAAGAACCATACAGAGAAGCCACCCTATGTGTCCGGTGCTATTTCATCCAGCTACAAGCAGGAGCCAGGCTGGCCCCTCCTGGATCGCACTAGGGGCATCTGCCCGGAGGCTGTGTGGGCATACGCCTGCTCCCACTGCGCCCCCTCCACAGCTCCCTCTGGCTCCAGATGGGCCATCATAAAAGCCTGAGCAGCCCGGATTAGGTCCTCTTCCCGCAGGCCTGGGACGGGCACCGTGGGGATGCCAGCAATCATCATAGCCAGGGTGAGGATGCAGATGTCAGGCTGCGAGCCAGCCTCCTTCCCCCTGGCCTCAGAGGGCGTCGGCAGAACCCCTGGTGACAGCCCACACAGTAGCAGGGGCCCTGGCCTGCTGGGGCCACTGGGGTGGGGAGCTCTGCTTCTGGAGCAGCCATCCTCCCGGCCCAAGCTCTCCGGCTGCCTCCTGTGCAGGACTTTGTGGCAGTATTGGCCGTACTCGTTCCTCTGCAGTGTCTCCCAGCTAGCCCCCCCAGGGCAGCCCCTGGCTTCCGGCATTGCCTGGGCCAGGCCCCAGGCCGGCTCAGCTTTCTGACTCAGTGGCCCTAGTCCACCAGAGGCCACCAGCACTGGCTCTACAGGACTGTAGTGGCCAAGGGATGAGCCTGGAGAAGCAGCCCCACCTGCAGAAACAGGAATGAGATGGAATGTTACTCTTGGTCTCTTTGACAAGGAGGCCCTGAGGGGCAAGGCATAGTAGCAAAGCTTGGGGCAGCAACTAAGACCAGCCCAAGAGGACTGTCTAGAGATTGAGAACTAGGTATTCATCCCCATGCCCTCAGTCTCCACTTCTGAGTGGATAAAGTGTTTGCTGAATGAATGAGTGAGCAAGTGCGTGGTTATTGATTGGCAAGGACTTTTGGAATGGCTTTTCTTCTAAGAATATTGACTCGAGGGCTAGCCCCCAAATACCCAGCAGAACCTCCACCTCCTCAGAGCCAAAAAGCAACTTTTGGGGAAGTTGTGGAGCCCCCTCCAGTTCCAGGTGCCCCTCTCTCACCTTGGCCAGAAGGCAGAAGACCTGGATGAGTTTGTGGAGACACGAAGTAGGACATGGCTGCCCCACAGCCCCTGTTTGTGAGGGAATAGTTGCCTGTCTGCTGTCTTACTCTCTCCACCCTTCTAGAATGTCACCTTATAGACCTCATAGTCCTCCCTCCCCTTTATACCTGGAACCCTCCTCACAGCGTTGACCTATTCATTCTAGAACCTGTCTATGACAATGAGGGGAGTTAAAAGAGCACTGGACCAGGACCTGGGTGTTCTAGATTCTTGCCCTTACTTTGGGCAAGTCACCTGGACAGTTTTTTTTTCCTTGAGATTCTCATCTGTAAAGTGGGGTGATGACAACCCCTACCTCATTAGCAGTTGTAAGGATGAAATGAGATAATTTGTAGGGAAGCAAATGATCAGAATTGGAAATAAAGGAGTGCTTCATGCCCTGTAGTGTAAGGACCAGAAATCAGTCTCTGTCAAAGTTCCTCAACTGATTATAATATGGGTCAAAGTTAGACCCTCTACTCTAGGTAAATGCTTCTTAGCCCTGGTTGTACATTAGAATCTCCAGGGGAAGCCAGGCTCGGTGGCTCAGCCTGTAATCCCGCGCCTTCGGGAGGCTGAGGTGAGTGGATTGCCTGAGCCCACGGGTTCGAGACCCGCCTGGGCAGCGAGACCTCATCTCTACAATAAATCAAAAAATCAGCCGGGCGTGGTAGCGCCTGCCTGTAATTCCGGCTACTCGGAAGGCTGAGGCGGAAGGATTGCCGGAGCCCAGCAGGTCGAGGCTGTGGTGGCCGGGAGCGGCCACTGCACTCCAGTCTGGGCGACAGAGTGAGACTCCAACTCAAAAAAAAAAAAAAAAAAAAAGAATCTCCAGGGGAGCTTTTACAGAAAATCGTGTCAGCCAGGCATGGTAGCTCAAGCCTATAATCCCAGCGCCTTTGGGAGGCCAAGGCAAGAGGATTGCCTGAACCCAGGTGTTCGAGACCAGCCTGGGCAACTGGGTGAGACCTTGTCTCTACAATAAATCAAAATATTAGCTGGGCATGGTGGCACGTGCCTGTATTTCCAGCTACTTGGATGGCTGAGGCAGAAGGATCACCTGAGTCCTGCAAGTCAAGGCTGCAGTGACCATGAGCGTGCCACGCACTCCAGCCTCAGTGACAGAGTGAGACTCCAACTCAAAACAAAACCAGAAAGTAGTGTCTAGGCCTAATCTGCCTACACATCTGATGGAAAACTCTAGAGATGAGGTACAGGACATCAGCACTCTTTTTGTCTCCCAGATGACTCTAACGAGTAGCCAAGCTAGGGACCTCTGGTCTAGATGACATCAAAATGCTCTTTTGCTCTGACCTGCTGACCCCCAGTGATTCTAAAAGAGGTGTCACTCACAGGCTGTAGGGGCAAGGAGACCCTCCAGTGATCAGAGTGTCAGCATCAGCTGTGTTTATTTCTGGTCCTGGCTGGCAGCCAGCTTCAGACTAGTCACAGCACTGGAGCTAGGATGCACTTCTGCGACCCTGCTCCAGGACTGCAGGCCTTCATTCATACTTGCAGAAATCCTTGAGTCCTCTGGGCAGGTGGAGCCCATCGATGGCCAGCCGGTGCACCACACTTCTCTGGATCACTAGGCGGCACAGGGTCTGCAGGGATGGCACTGTGGGAGGAAGGCCATCTAAGGCAAACGGAACTGGAGGATGGGTCTGAGGCGGAGACCCAGAGGACCTAGGCTTCATCCCCTTTGCCATTAATGTGGGCAAGTCCTTTCTGCTCTCCGGAACCAGCCTGCTTCAGGGGGCTGTTCATGGGGCTGAGATAAGCACCTCTCCCTGAAGACTATCACAGTGCTGCAGCCTTGTTTCTATCACAATCCTCAGCACGATCCCTTCCGCCTTCACTTAGCGGCTTCTGGGGGCAGGGGTAGTGTTTGATTTGCCTGTGCAACCGCAGCCTCCAGCATAGGCTTGGCACAGAGTGGCTTCCAGTTCACTGGATTCATAACATATGGTCAGAGATATAAATAAAATGCTTAACAGCTATAATGATCTGAACTTTAGGACTGAGAAATTCTCATTCTGGGTTCTGAGATACCTCTAAACTCATAGGTGGCTGGGGATGGGGGCTCACGCCTATACCTCAGGACTTTGGGAAGCCAAGGTGGTGGGATCCCTTGAGCCCAGGAGTTCAAGGTTGTAGTGAGCTATGCTCACATCACTGCACTCCAGCAGCCTGGGCAAAAGAGCAAGACCTGCCTGAAAAAAAAAAAAAAAAAACCAAAAAACTGATATGCCCAAATCTATGAGCATTTTTCTTTTCTCTCTCTCTCTTTTTTTAGAGATGAGGTCTTGCCAAGTTACCCAGGCTGGTCTCGAACTCCTGGATTCAGGCAATCCTCTGGTCTCAGTCTCCCAAAGCGCTGGGATTACAGCCGTGAACCACCATGCCTGGCTACTTTTTTTATTCTTTTGAGTTGGAGTCTCACTCTGTCATCCAGGCTGGAGTGAAGTGGCACATTCACAGCTACCACAGCCTTGATCTGCTGGGCTCAGGTGATCCTTACGTCTCAGCTTTCCAACTAGCTGAAACCACAGGCATGTGCCACCACACCCAGCTAATTTTTTGATTTATTGTAAAGATGGGGTCTCGCCATGTTGCTCAGGCTGGTCTCGAACCCCTGAGCTCAGCCAATCCTCTCGCCTCCGCATCTCAAAGTGCTGAGATTACAGGCTTGAGACACTGCGCCCAGCCTTTTTTTTTTTTTTTTTTTTTAAGAGACAGGTTCTCACTCTATTGTCCAGGCTGCAGTGTAGTGGCACAATCATAACTTAGCACAGCCTAGAACTAAGAGGCTCAAGGGTTCCTCCCACCTCAGCTTCCTGAGTAGCTGGAACCACAGATACAGGCCACCAGACTTGGCTGGTTTTGTTTTTTTATTTGGTGGTGGTGGGAGGTCTTTCTATGATGCCCAGGCTGGTCTTGAACTCCTGGCCTCAAGCAATCCACCCTCCTCGGTCTCCTAAATCAGCTGGATTACAGACATGAACCACCACACAGGCCCATCTGAGCATTTTTCTAATAAAAAAGCACACAGCCGGGCTTGGTGGCTCAGCCTGTAATCCCAGCACTTTGGGAGGCCAAGCTGGAGGACTGCTTGAGCCCAGAAGTTCAAGATCAGCCTAGGGAACATAGGAAGACTGCGTCCCTATAAAAAAAAAAAATCAAAATAATAAGCCGGGTGTGGTGGCACATGCCTGTAGTCTCAGCTACTTGAGAGGCTAAAACTGAGGCTGTGGAAGGATCACCTGAGCACAGGAGGTAGAGGCTGTGGTGAGCTGTGATCACACCACTGCACTCCAGCCTGGAAGACAGAGTGAGACCCCGATTTAAACATTAAAAAAATTATTAAAAGTAAACTTTCAGGACATCTTAGTCAGGCGAGATGAGTATACTGAGGCCAAGAGCCAGGTAGTGACTTATGCAAAATCACAAGCAGAGGTGTAATTTGAAGCCAGGTTTTCCTGCTTCTAAACTAGAGTGGACAGACTAGCCTAGTTAGCTGCCTAGGGAGTCCTAGCAGGTCCTTTCCCCTACACTGGCCCAGGAGGGTGGGATACCTACAGCCGTACTCGAGCTGGACCAGGCGCACACTCTTGGTAGAGGCAAACACGTCAACCACCGCGTAGAGGGGCTGCGCGGCTGGCAGCCCCCGAGCGCTCGGGCCCATGTCCTCCCCGTTGATGACGATGTGCATGTCGGCTGTGCCATCCGGGCGCGGACAGAAGAGAACGCCCAGGCGACTACGGCGCGCAGTCGGAGGCAGCACGTTTAGCTCATAGAGCTGGTCCAAGAGGTGGCTGTAGATCCCCGGCCGGCTGCGGCCCACCAGGCGGTCCCTGGGAATGCGAAACTGCTCAATGCACAGATAGGGTTCTACCAGAAGGGCCGGGGGTCTGCTGGAGGCCGCTGCCTCCGCCTCCGGGCGGCCCTCCTGGGGCACGCGGTTGTGGTGGCGCGTGATAGCGAAGACCCAGGTATGGCCGAGGCTGACCAGGTCTGGCAGCGAAAACTCGGGCACGGCGGCCAGACTGGCGGGGTTCAGCGCGGTCAGGCCGAGGCGCAGATGCCCGCACCAGCCCAACTCTTTCTCCTCGATCTCCACCAGGAATATCTGACCCGGGGCCAAGGGCTCGCGGCTGAAGCACACGCCGTGAGCGAAGCTCTCCACGCGTGTGGCCTGGGTCCCAGAGGGGTCCACGCGGATATTGGCCCCGTGCACCTGGTGGAAACGGGTGGGAGGGGGCTCCGGGCGCGCACGTCCCCAGAGTGCGCCCAACTCCACGGGGTCGGAGGCGGCAGCCATCATCGCCCGGCCATGAGGCAGGCCAGCGGCCGTCGGAGGCTATTTTGGGCAGCGGGCTCGTGGTGACCGCGAGGGACCATGTAAGGCCTTCCACCCTACCGCAACCCCCACCACACACACACACTCCTTTTCTCGAGGCGCTGCCCGGGGGTCCTAGCGCCGCTTGCTCAGTCATGTCGCCTAGGGCTGAGCCCCCGGAAGCCGCGGGGAACTTGGCGGTGCACGCCAGGGTCATCTGACCGCGGACGCCGGGGCTACGACCCGCGAGGCCGGAGGACCTTGACCCGGCGTTGACCTCCACGGCCGCCCAGGCCCGCAGAGACCGAAGCAGGGACCGGAGGAAAACTGTCACGTGGCGCTCGAGCTCACGTGACTCGGAGTACACATGACTTCGGTCGCCGGGCGCCTCCTGGAGAACAAGGAGGCGGGGGAGCCGAGGTGAGGAAACTCCGGAGGCTGGAAGGGATCCCTGAGCTCCGGGTCCGTGCGCGGTGGAGGCACTCGGCGGGAGGGAGCTGCGGCGGGAGCAGGGGCTTCCCTCGCGGAGGCGTCGCCAGCTTCTCCCGGGGCACGGCTGCACGGAAGTGCCGCGGAGCGAGTTAACAACTGGCCCTGCTGCCGCCTCCTGCAGATGGTCCGAGCCGCGCTGTCGCCGCTGTTCCTGCTGCTGCTCATATTCTGGGCGCCCCGGAGCGGGGCAGCCCCCGACCAGGACGAGATCCAGTGCCTCCCCGGGCTGGCCAAGCAGCCGTCCTTCCGCCAGTTCTCCGGCTACCTCCGAGGCTCCGGCTCTAAGCACCTCCACTACTGGTCTGCCTTTCGGGAGGGGTTGGGAAGAGAGAGGATGATGAGTTGGGAGTGGGGGACAGTTCTGAAGACCCTTGAGGGCTCCTGGGAGCCGGGGGGTGCTAGAGGGGCCCCTCCACCTGTGCCAACCCTGTCCTGACCCCCTCCCCAAGGTTTGTGGAGTCGCAGAAGGATCCCGAGAACAGCCCTGTGGTGCTCTGGCTCAACGGAGGTCCTGGCTGCAGCTCCCTAGATGGGCTCCTCACAGAGCACGGCCCCTTCCTGGTGAGTGGACAGCATTGCTCTCCTCCTGTGACCCAGGAAAGAGAGAGGCAAGGGATAGTTCTTGGAGAGAGCTGGAGAGAAAGGGAGAAAAGAACTTTGTGATTTTCCAAAAATGTTTTCTTCCTTCTGAGCCTCAGATTTTTCATCTCTTCCATTGGCTTGACTATGGATACTTCTCAGGGGGTTTTGCTCATGTGCAAAGTGCCTGGCATGATGGTACTTTGCCTCCACCTAGCAGGCCCTGTGGGCTTGCTCAGCCATCTCTCTTCTTTTCAGGTCCAGCCAGATGGCGTCACCCTGGAGTACAACCCCTATTCTTGGAACCTGGTATAGCATGAGCTATGGGTCTTGTGGGGAGTGTCTGGGCACTTGAATGAGGTGGGGGACTCTCTTTAGCTCACTGCTTCCTCCCCTCTAGATTGCCAATGTGTTGTACCTTGAGTCCCCAGCTGGGGTGGGCTTCTCCTACTCCGATGACAAGTTTTATGCAACCAACGACACTGAGGTGAGTGTGATGCCTGCCCATCTGCTCTAGGCTCCCTGGTCCAAAAGTGGTTTGATGCTGGGAGAGACCATGGCCTTCAAGTCCGTTTTGGCTCTGTCATGTGCTATGTGGTGTGGTTGTGGATAAGTCACTTTCTCTTGCACAAGCAGGGTGGGTTGGTGTCATTATCTCTTAGGTTCTTTCCAGTTCAAATACCACAGCCCCTGACTTCCTCCAACATGCTCTCCCCAGGTGGCCCAGAGCAATTTTGAGGCCCTTGAAGATTTTTTCCGCCTCTTTCCGGAGTACAAGGACAACAAACTTTTCCTGACTGGAGAGAGCTATGCTGGCATCTACATCCCCACGCTGGCTGTGTTGGTCATGCAGGACCCCAGCATGAACCTTCAGGTGCAGGGTGACTGCAGGAGGGAAGGGAGGGACCTTGTGGCCATGGCCTTGCAGTTAGCAAGGTCAGATTGATCAAACGCCCCGCCCAACCCAGTCTCTTCCATAACCTCCCTGCCACTGGCTGCCCCGTCTGCTTGTGTGCCTCCCACAACAGGAAGCTCACCCTGTCAGGCTGCCTGCTCTGTTCTTTACATTGAGTGCCGCCCCCACCCACCCATCCCCACAAGCCACCCTGAGTTTCAGCCTCCAGATTGCTGAAGGCCAGGGTGTAGGTCAAGGGAGGCTCCTCTGCACCCTCCAGATGAGCTGAGCACCCTGGGTGTTTCACAGGGGCTGGCTGTGGGCAATGGACTCTCCTCCTATGAGCAGAATGACAACTCCCTGGTCTATTTTGCCTACTATCATGGCCTTCTGGGGAACAGGTATGGGAGAGGGGCAGTTGGGCAATCTCTAGGGTGGGGTGGGTCACAGGATCTCAGATCTGACCTCCAGGCACATGATACCCAGACCCTACCCTGGTTTATGAGCAGCAGGTGGGGGCTGGGGCTGCAGGAAGGCCAAAGAATAGAGATTAGAATTTAAAGGGACTGAGGAGGGCTGTCTGTATGGCCTGGGGGTAGCTTCTTGGGAGCTAAATCTGGTGATCCAGGAGCCACACCCTGTGATATCTTTCCTAGTTTACTAGGATCAGGTCCTGATGGGAGGTTGGCAGGAGGAGGTGGGATGTTCACCTCCCCTGCCCACCAGGGTCTGATGCATTTTCACTCCAATCTCCCACAGGCTGTGGTCTTCCCTCCAGACTCACTGCTGCTCTCAAAACAAGTGTAACTTCTATGACAACAAAGACCCGGAATGCGTGACCAATGTGAGGTTCTGCCCCCACTTTGCATCAATCAGCCCTGCTATCCCTATCATGAGAACCAGACCACATCCCCTCCTTGGGACTCCCAGTCCCCCACTCCCCATTCTTTCCTTATCCTGTTCCTTTCAGCAGTTTGGTGTTCTCTAGGACACCTGTTTATGTGTATATTCCTACCACCATCCTGAAAGTCCTGTGACTTTTGGGCAGATCGTGTAACTCCTGTGAGGGGAAAGGACTTCTTCACATATATTGACATCTGCAATGGACTAGGCACTGTGCTGAATGACATCTATATAGATGACTTCATCTTCAAGATTCTCCTTCCAGGGAGATTACACTATCCACATTTTCTTTTTTTTTTTTTTGAGCTGGAGTCTCACTCTGTCGCCCAGACTGGAGTGCAGTGGCCACTCCCAGCCACCACAGCCTCGACCTGCTGGGCTCAGGTGATCCTTCCACCTCAGCCTTCCAAGTAGCGGGAACTACAGGCACACGCTACCACACCCGGCTCATTTTTTTATTTATTGTAGAGATGAAGTATCGCCAAGTGGCCCAGTTGGGTCTCAAACCCGCAGACTGAGCCAATCCACTCACCTCAGCCTCCCAAAGGCGCGGGATTACAGACTGAGCCACCGAGCCCGGCTTCCACATTTTCCAGATGAGGAAATAGGGCACAGATTTTGGTGTCACAGTGCTAGGAAACTGGACCCAGGTCTGGAAGATTCTTTCCACTGAGCCTCAGTTTCTCTATTTATGAAAAAAAGTGGGTTAAGTGTGATGACAAGAGGTGAAGTACAAGAGCAGTAGTCTTGGGACAAGTTGGAGGTCCTGGAGAGGCCAGGGGTCTGTAAAGCGTGAGGGCTCCATGTGTCATTGCAGCTTCAGGAAGTGTCCCGCATCGTGGGCAACTCTGGCCTCAACATCTACAACCTCTACGCCCCGTGTGCTGGGGGGGTGCCCGGCCATTTAAGGTAGGTGCCACCATGTGCCCCTGGGGCTCACCCCAACCCCATCTGGAGGCTCAGCCCCCATCCCCCCACTTCACATGCAGGTATGAGAAGGACACTGTCGTGGTCCAGGATTTGGGCAACATCTTCACTCGCCTACCACTCAAGCGCACGTGGCATCAGGTATGCAAGGGCATGGGGCGTCCTCCCAGTGGGCAGCCTGGGAAGGGGCAGGGAAGCAGAGACCCCGACACTCTATCTGTGCCCCCAGGCGCTGCTGCGTTCTGGGGATAGGGTGCGCATGGACCCCCCCTGCACCAACACCACAGCCACCTCCACCTACCTCAACAACCCTTACGTGCGGAAGGCCCTCCACATCCCTGAGCAGCTGCCCCGATGGGACATGTGCAAGTGAGGTTCTGTGGCCACTCACGCGTGGCTTGGGGGGTGGCAGGCTGTGGGGTTTGTGGGCATCACCAGAGTTCCCAGGCATCCTCTATCTAGGGTTTCTCAATGAAATTAGCTGTCGTACAGTATCTTCACTATCCCTGACCCCTAAGTTGATTGCTCTTCAGCCAGTTCTTTTTTAAGTGGCCACACTGGCTGTTAGTAGCTATTACTTCCATAGCACATAGTTAATAGACACTGTCCTGACCTTCACTCCAATTCCAAGCTGCCCAGATCTGTGTCCCCCCACAAGTAAAAGGATGACACCTGGCCTTAGCAGGGGCCACTTAAGTCCATTATGATTGGTCAGTACCCATGCTCTACCCTGTTTTTTGGGGTTTTTTTGTTTTTGTTTTTTTTTGAGTTGGAGTCTCACTCTGTCACCCAGACTGGAGTGCAGTGGCCGCTCCCGGCCACCGCAGCCTCGACCTGCTGGGCTCTGGCAATGCTTCGGCCTCAGCCTTCCGAGTAGCCGGAATTACAGGCGTGCACTACCACGCCCGGCTGATTTTTTGGTTTATTGTAGAGATGAGGTCTTGCTGCCCAGGTGGGTCTCAAACCCGTGGGCTCAGGCAATCCACTCACCTCAGCCTCCCAAAGGCAGGGGATTACAGGCTGAGCCACCGAGCTCGGCTGTTTTTTTGTTTTTAATTTTTTTTTTTTTTTGAGTTGGCGTCTCACTATCACCCAGGCTGGAGTGCATGGCATGCTCCCAGCCACTGCATCCTCAACCTGCTGGGCTCGTGATCCTTCTGCCTCAGCCTTCCAAGTAGAACTACAGGCACACACTACCACGCCCAACTTATTTTTTGATTTATTGTAGAGACGAGGTCTCACCACATTGCCCAAGGCTGGTCTTGAACCCTGGGCTAAGGCAATCCTCTTGCCTCGGCCTCCCAAAGTGCTGGGATTACAGGCATGATCCACCGCACCCAGCCTCTACCCTGTTATATGTTGTGACTGTCATACCTTGCTGGTCCCCAGTCACTAAATGCCAGTAACAACCAAAAAGTGTCCCTATATGTTTCCAAATGGGGGTAGGTTAAGGCTCTCTGAATCCCAGCCCCCATCCAGATCAGTCCTAGAGAGGTGACTCACCTGAAAAGGAGTGTGAAACCCAGCTGTCTGCCTCCTAGGTTGGAGCTTGGGGATAGGAGAGAAGGTCTGATCTGTTGACTCTTTGTTTCCCCCCTACCTGATCTTCCTGGGGCCTGCCCACGTGCTCTCGGCAGCTTTCTGGTGAATATACAATACCGCCGTCTCTACCAAAGCATGAACTCCCAGTACCTGAAACTGCTCAGCTCACAGGTGAGTGGGGGCAGCACAGCTGGATCCACCAGCTTAGGAATTTGGGGCATCATGGTAAGTTGGGGGCCCCCTTAGTGTTTCTCTCAGGACAGGGAAGCTGAATCTCCAAGAAGTGGGGTCCAAGGTCCTATGGTCAGCAAGATCAGGATTTGAACCTGGATTGTCCCCACTCCATGCTGCTCTGCTATAGGGGACCAAGGAGACTTTAGGGCGAGAAAAGCTACTTGGGTGTCACAGGTGGGCAAACAGAAGTCTAGAGTGGGAGAAAACCTTGTCCTGCTGGGTACAGTGGCTCACGCCTGTGATCCCAGCATTTTGGGAGGTGGAGACAAGAGGATTGCTTGAGTTTGTGGGTTTGAGACCAGCCTGGGCAATGTGGCGAGATCTCGTTTCTACAGTAAACCAAAAAATTAGCTAGGTGTGGTGGCTCATGCCTGTAGTTACAGCTACTTGGAAGGCTGAGGCGGAGGGATTGCCTGAGCACAGCAGGTCGAGGCTGCAGTGGCCATGAGCAGCATGCCACTGCATTCCAGCCTTGGTGACAGAGACTCCAACTCAGAAAAAAACCTTGTCCGAGTTCATGTAGGAAGCATTAGCAGAGCCAGGTTAGGGCCAAGTTCTGTCCAGCACATTGTTGAGAGTGTGGGCTCTAGAGTCATATGACCTAGGTGCAAATCCCCTTATCAGCCATGTGATCCTGGGCAAATTTCTTAAATATCACAAGCCTCAGTTTCCCCATCTGTAAAATGAGGATAATAGTATCTACATTCACAGCTAAAGAGCACTGGACATAGAGTAAGTAGTCAGAAAACATGAGAATTTCCTGGTTCATGCTGTGTAGCTGGGCCCCTTGAATTCCCTGAGGAGGGCTGAGGCCTGGCCTTCTTCCAGGCCTCTCATTTTCCCTCCTGTCCTACTCCAGAAGTACCAGATTCTGTTATACAACGGAGATGTAGATATGGCCTGCAATTTCATGGGGGATGAGTGGTTTGTGGATTCCCTCAACCAGAAGGTAAGGCAGGGTTGGGCATGTGGCCAGCCGCTTGGCTGTGGCAAACCTGGAGAGTAGTTCCAGCCCCCAAGGTCTCGTGAGCAGGGATGGGGGCCCTGGAGGCTGATGTCTTTCCTGGGGGGGCAGATGGAGGTGCAGCGCCGGCCCTGGTTAGTGAACTACGGGGACAGCGGGGAGCAGATCGCCGGCTTCGTGAAGGAGTTCTCCCACATCGCCTTTCTCACCATCAAGGTAGGGCCTGGGCCTGGGCCTGCTGAAGGATAACTGGGGCCAGAGGAGGAGCAGCAGGACCTGCCCATCCTCTCTTCCAGCTTCCTTTCATGCTGGGTTACCAGCTGGCCCCAGTAAGGGCAAGGGGAGGGATGGGTGCTGGGAAGAACAAAGGGCTTGGGAGGAAGGAGGTGCCCAGGGTGAGGAGTGATATGGAGGGAATGGCGGGGGTCAGAATCTCCCAACGCCTTGCTCCTCAGGGTGCCGGACACATGGTCCCCACCGACAAGCCCCAAGCTGCCTTCACCATGTTCTCCCGCTTCCTGAACAAGCAGCCCTACTGATGGCCACGGGACCAGCTCCCACCACCTGATCCAGCCCCTCCCAGCCTCTCCTGCTGGGAGAGTCCTCTTTTATGCAGAATGCCCTGAGGGCAAGGCCTGCCTCAGAACTGCTGCCCTTCTCACTGCCCTGTACATCCCAGACCAGGCCCCACTGCCTCCCTAAACAGCCTAGGGGCAGGTTAGCACTTTATTCCCACAGCAGTCCCTGTCAGGGGTGGCCTGGCCCCTCCCTGCTTAAAGAATGCCCTCTTTGATGCACTGATTGCATCCCAGGACCCCAAAGAGCTCAGGACAAAGTCCACAGGGAAGGGGTGGACGGACTGTTATTGATGAATCGACTGATTATGGAATTAAATTGGGTACAGCTTCAACCCCATCTTCTCTGTGGCACTGGGGGTTAGAGGGGACACTACAGCCTGTGAATGTAGCGAAGGAGGGGCCGAGAGGGCTGGAGTTCTATATGGCAGCTGCCAGGGTGGGGGTGAGGGCTCAGACAGCTGCCGTGGAGGGCGGGGGGGCACTGGACGCCCTGGCATCAATAGGTCGGTTCTTTTCAATCACCTCTCGAAGCCCTTTGGCAAAGTGGAGGTCAGCCCCGACGGTGAGGAAGCCCTGTGCAGTGAGGCAGAGAGGGGAGTCTCAGTTATTCAATTACTGAGGACAGAGTTTATAAAGACAGAGACCTTGATCTCCAGGGGCTCTCAATCTAGTGGGAGAGACAAAGCAGCAAACCCAATCTCATAACACTGAGTCAAGCATGCTGAAATGGAGGCTGCAGGAGCAGCAACTGGGCATGAAGAAGGGCTTCCTGGAGGAGGTGACTCTAGACATTGGAGTGAGATTGGAGAAGAATGTTCCAGGGAGAAGGCAGGGCCTGTGCCAAGGGCTGGAGTAGTCTGATGTAATTAAAATAGGGGACAACTGGGGTCAGGCCACAGAAGGCACTGAGGAGCTATAGAGACGGGAAAGCTCTGCCCTCCCCATCACACCCCCACTCACCGCATGGTTTGTCACTACCTCGCGCACAAAGTTGATGCCCTCGGGTAGGGGGATCTGCACCCCACGCCAGGTCCGCTCTGTGAGTGGGAGCAGCTGACTCAGTCCAGGCCCTCCCAGCTCATCCCTCCTCTCCTCCCTCCTCACACCCCAGCCATACCATTGAGCATGGGCATCACCCCAATCTGCAGCATGGTCTTCAGAGGGGCCTGCAGCGGGATCAGCTGTGGGAAAGGAGTGAAGACAGGCAGTGAGTGGGGGGTGAGTTTGCCTTAGCCGCCCATCCCCGACTCCAGCCTCCCGCCCACCCGCCCTTCCCAACTCACTGCCAGCGACTCTAGTGCAGACTGATTTGAGTAGATCCGGAACCTGCAGGAGCAAAAAGAGCCCAGTGGGCCTGAAGCCTGGAAGCTCTCCTTCCTCAGGCAACACAGGCCTGCCCTGCGGAAGCCTTGAGTTTTAGTCTCAGATATCCCACCTATATACCTTTCTGGGTGATGCTGCCACTTTCCAGGTGTGTATCCTTGGGCAAGTCATTTCTTCCTCTTTGGGTCTCATTTTTTCCAAGTCTGCTACTTGTTGAACACTTCTATATGCTAGATTTCTGCTGATAGCTTTACTGCTGTTACTTATTTTATTTATCAAAACTCACAGTGCTTACTACCTGTCATATACTCATCATGCTTAAAAAGTTAAATATTGCTGGGCACGGTAGCTCACGCCTGTAATCCCAGCACTTCGGGAGGCAGAGGCAAGAGGATTGCCTGAGTTCAGGGGTTCGAGACCAGACTGGGCAACTTGGCAAGGCCTTATCTCTACAATAAATAAAAAAATTAGCTGGGCATGGTGGCACCCGCCTGTAGTTCCAGCTACTTAGAAGGCTGAGGCAGAAAAAAAAAGTTAAATAATAGTAAAGTCTTTTAAGCCGGGCTTGGTGGCTCAGCCTGTAATCCCGTGCTTTGGGAGGCTGAGGTGAGTGGATTGCCTGAGCCCAGGGGTTCGAGACCCACCTGGACTACTTGGTGAGACCTCATCTTTACAATAAATCAAAAAGTTAGCCGGGCGTGGTAGCACGTGCCTGTAGTTCCAGCTACTTGGAAGGCTGAGGCGGAAAGATCGCCGGAGCCCAGCAGGTCGAGGCTGCGGTGGCCGGGAGTGGCCACTGCACTCCAGTCTGGGCAACAGAGTGAAACTCCAACTCAAAAAAAAAAAATAGTAAAGTATTTTAAATACACCAACTGATTTAGTCCTCATGACAATCCTTAGAAGTAGGCAGAATTAGTATTTGTATTTTGTTTTAAAATTTTTTGAGTCGGGGTCCTTCTCTGTTGCCCAGGCCGGAGTACAGTTGCATACTCATCAATCACCATAGCCTCAATCTCATGGGCTCAGGCAATCCTTCCACCTCAGTCTCCTCAGTAGCTGGGACTACAGGTGAACACCACCAAGGCCGGGTAATTTTTCAATTTCTTATAGAGACGAGAGTGTCACTATGTTGCCCAAGATGGTCTTGAACTCCTGGGCTCAAGCAATCCTCCAGTCTCAGTCTCCCAAATTGCCAGGATTATAGGCATGAGCCACCATGCCCATCCAGGGTTTGCACTTAATAGATGAGGAAAATGAGGCCCAGAGAGGTTACGTAATTTGCAGTAGGTCACACAGCTGGTGTCAGACTCTGTCTCTAGAATCTAGCCACCTAACCGCTACACTGCATTATTTCATTTAAGAGCGCTGTCCAATAGAATTTGCTATGAAATGTGTACCTGCAGCGTCTACTGTGGTAGCCACTAGCCACATGTGACCAATGAAATGTGGTTTAGTGCAACTGAAAAACTATTTAATTATAATTAATTTAAACAATAGTCATTCTGCTAGTGTCTGCCATGTTGCACTGCTCAGTCCTAGAAAGCAGATGCTACTTCTACTTGTATTTAACACACGAAGAAAATGAGGCTTAGACCAAATGCCTTGCCTCAAAGTCACAGAGCTATGTGGTGCTGAGGTTTCTGTCAAAACACGCATTCCCTTCTTGGTGTGTGACTGGGCGTGTTATTTACTTAACCTTACTGGACCAGTTCGTTCATCTAATCCAGCTCTTCCTGCCTCTGGGTCGTGAGAATGCAGAGGAGCTACTCTTTACTAAAGCACTTTTGTTTTTGTTTTGTTTTTGAGTCAGGGTCTCACTCTGTTACCCAGCCTGGAGAGCAGTGGCACAATGAGAGCTCACTACAGCCTTGATCTCCTGGGCTCAGGTAATCCTTCTGCCTCAGCCTCCCAACTAGGTGGGACTACAGGCATGCACCACCACGACCTGGCTAATTTTTTAATTTTTTTATAGAGACAAGGTGTCAGTATGTTGCCCAGGCTGGTCTTGAACTCTTGGGCTCAAACAATCTTCCTGTCTCAGCCTCCCAAGGTGCTGGTATTACATGCATGAGTCAGTGTGCCCCACTAATAAAGACAGACCCCAGCACTCAGTGGCTTATAGGTATGACTGAATCTTGCCCCTGCCATCCCCCCCCCCGGCTGTCCCTTGGGCAGGCGCGACTGTCCTGAAGATGTGAAGGTCCAGGGAGGTCCTCCCATCTACCTGCGCAGATCCAGCTGCGTGCGCAGCGCCTTCCCTCTGAGTGCCATCTTGGCGCTGAGGCGGGCGTCCTGCGGGAACATGGGAGAGGAGGATGTTACTGGCCTGAAAGTTTCACAGCCCACTTCTCCCTAACCCCCTGCTGGGAGCTCCCACTCTGGGCCCATACCATGATCATGCTGGACAGCTGGACCTCAGGCTGGTCGGGTGGGACCAGGGCAATGGTGACACTGGCAGTGACAGAGATGGTGGTGCCTGAAGGCTTGATGGTACAACGTGGTGGGGCCAAGACCCGCAGCTCCAGCTTCAGTGGGGAGTCAATCACTGCAGGGCTCTGGGAACAGAGCAGGGATGAGCCCCAGTCCCTCATGAACCCCCAGGGAGGAAGGGAGACAAAGTTTCTGCCTTCTGGGGGCCCAGAGATTGCAAATATAAATACTGAGTCAGTGGCTCATGCCTGTAACCCAAGCAATTTGGGAGGTGGAGGCCAGAGAATTGCCCAAACCCAGGGCTTCGACCAGCCTGGGCAACTTGGCGAAACTTAGTCGCCACAAAAAATAAAAAATTAGCTGGGTGTGGTGGCACATGCCTGTAATTCCAGCTACTTGGAAGGCTGAGGTGGAAGGCTTGCCTGAGCCTGGCAGGTCAAGGCTGTAGTGGCCGTGAGCATGCCACTGCACTCCAGCTTAGGCAACAGAGTGAGACTCCTACTAAAAAATAAAATAACAGCCGGGCTCGGTGGCTCAGCCTATAATCCCAGCGCTTTGGGAGGCCAAGGTGAGGAGATTGCCTGAGCCCGCGGGTTTGAGACCCACCTGGACAACTTGGCAAGACCTCATCTCTACAATAAATCAAAAAATTAGCCGGGCGTGGTAGTGCACGCCTGTAGTTCCAGCTCCTTGGAAGGCTGAGGCGGAAGGATCGCCGGAGCCCAGCAGGTCGAGGCTGCGGTGGCTGGGAGCGGTCACTGCACTCCAGTCTGGGCGACAGTGAGACTCCAACTCAAAAAAATAAATAAATAAAATAAAATAAAAATAAAAAATAAACCTTGCAGCTGGGCTCAGTGACTCAGCCTGTAATCCCAGCACTTTGGGAGGCTGAGGTGAGTGTATTTCCTGAGCCCATGGGTTCGAGACCCCCGGGAAACTTGGCAAGACCTCATCTCTACAATAAATCAAAAATTAACCAGGTGTGGTAACACATACCTATAGTTCCAATTACTTGAAAGGCTGAGACGGAAGGATCGCCAGAGCCCAGCAAGTCGACACTAGGGTGACCTTGAGCGTGCTACTGCACCCCAGCCTAGGCAACAGAGTGAGACTCCAACATAAATAATAAAATAAAATAGTGAGGCAGATACTATTATCATCACCGTTTTTTTTGTTTTTTTTTAAGTTGGATTCTCACTGTTGCCCAGGCTGGAGTGCAGTGGAAAAATCACGGCTCCCTACAGCCTCCACCTTTGGGCTTAGGCAATCCTACCTCAGCCTCCCAACTAGCTGGTACTACAGGTGCACACCACCACATGCTGCTGATTTTTTTGACATTTTGTAGAGACAAGGTCTTGCTATGTTGCCCAGGCTGGTCTCGAACCCCTGGGCTCAAGCCATCCTTTTGCCTCAGCCTCCCAAAGTGCTGGGATTTCAGGCGTAAGCCACCATGCCTGGCCTGAGGAATCATTATTAAACCCCCTACAGGCATGAGCCACTGCACCCAGCCTATCCCCATTTTTGAGATGGGGAAAACTGAGAAACAGAGAGGTTAAGTAACTTGTTTCAGGTTATGTAG